AGTAAAACCAGCTGGTTGCATCCAGTCAGGGACTTTATATAGTGATTCTGCAGCAATCCCTCATGTGATTGCTGCAGAATCACATGAGGGATTGGACCTTTATTATGCAGTCATGATCTTTAGGATTCTAAACAGCTGTATCTACTGCGTCTTTCTCTTAAAGGTATCATTCTACATTCCATTTATTTTAATGCAGCTTGTCTTTGTCAAATGTGATCATTTTAAAGTTTTTCTGCTCAGAAGAGACTTCTGGGTTTTTTTTAGGCTAGAGATGGATACCACATTTATGTAGCATATTCCTGATTTATTCAAAGCTTGGACCTCAAAGTATCCATCCCAACAGAAGATCAGTTGGTACTGGTAACGGTTGGGTTAAGGTCAAAGGTTAAGGGTTAGGGCAGAGAAAGGGATGAAAACGACTGAAAACCATTGGGGTCACTGCATGGTCCTCACTACATATAGCAAGATGAGGGTGTGTGGGTTGCATGTGTAAAGGAGATGTTGTTAAAGGCTGAACTGTTTCTTTAGAAAGGAGACAAAATGACATTTTAAACCAAACTAGTAACACAGGTCTGCTTTCTGCTTCACTCCTGTTATTTATCTGACATAATACACGTCAGAGAATCTTCTTAAGGTTTAAAAACCTCATTCCTTGAAATCCAGTGTCCTGCAACTTCAGGATGCATCTCTGCTTCAAACAGACTCAAATATAATCGCCCTTATCGGAGCTCTGCAGAGCTGGCTGCTGCTAGTCAGGCAGTGCAGACAGTAGCAGCAGGCTGGGACACATGGAAAAGGTGCAGAACGCTGAAGGATTAGAGCCGGAGCTGCTGCCAGAAACCTTCTGATTCTACTCGCTCAATATTCTGATTTATTTCTCTACAACTAAAAGGAAATTCAAAATTTATAAACAAGAACTGTAAAATAATCATGGAACATTTTTGAAGACATTTAAGTAAAAATATCTATCTAGATAAAAAAAACAACAACAACCAAAGCCTAAATTTGGGAACGCTCCATTTCTTCCCATTGAAAACAGCCCAGATTAAACACAGACCTGTGAAACAAGGGAATCATGAGGAGACATCAGTTATAGGAGGTTATAGTTATAGTTTGCTGAGCTTCTGAATGTTAGGATGGGACTGAAAGCCGCTTATAATAATAAACACTTTACTGTGTAAAAGTAGACGGAATCAACATGAGGAGGAACCCATGAGATGATGAACAGGTCCTATATATTAGATCAACATCTTTATTCTTCATCCTCACCTGCTGCCAGAAGATTTCACCTAAATAGATACATTGATCCACTACCATTCACGAAATATCCTGTAATATTTTCACGGTAACAACATCTACGGCAAGCCGTTTTGATATGTACTAGTTTTACTGAATATTTATTCCTGATATTTGAAAAAAAAATGTCTTTGTCTAAATGACATTTCAAACAAAATAACATTCTCCACATCTAGGATAAACATTCTGGATGTCTAGAAATTTATTTCAGATTTCCATATTCCTAATATTACTGATCAGCATTTGGATTATCTTAAAAACTGTAATTTAGTAAATGTATTATAACAGTTAGGTCCAGGAAGAAGCTTATTTTAGTGATCTATAAATGGAAGAACAGAGAGGAGAGTGCTTTTAATAAATGTAAAAAATGGCCTGCCATAGCCCACTTCATATAAACGTACGCATTAATCGGAGCAACAATCTTCTCCTTCACCATCTTTCTCTCCTTTGTAGCTGTAGCGCTGCTTCTCTGTCTTTTAAACACGTTCAGCTTTTTTATTTTCTTTTTTTCATTAAAATCTCTAGTTCCAGTGGGGTGAAATAGGCACTTCCTGTCCCCTGTTGTCATGGTGACCCGTTGATTCGGCTTTCCACTGATGATGGCTTTTCATACTTGTTACGCACGTGCTAAACTCTGAGTGGACCTGGTTAAAATTGATTGAACTAATTGACAGCAGACGTTGTCAAACCGAACACTCAGAGTTCCCGACTGTTGGATAGATCAATTTAGAGTCGTAGATTTGAATCTGAATTTGTTAAACCTGCTTCGTGAAACAGACCTCAGGTCGTTCAGCAGTTTCAGCCTAAATACACATGAAGAACTCTGAGGGTTGAACACGGGACCTGCAGCTTAGGTCTACGCCGATATAAGTTCAAAACCTGTTTCATTCAAAGGAAATAGGAACTTAATTAATCTCACATCTGGTGTTTTAGGAGGAAAACTTTACCTTCTTAGAGGAAAATGTTTGTCTGCCTTCCAGGAAATGAAGAAAAACAGCAGGAGCTCTGCAGTGATGAGTCTAAGTTAATTGATCAGAGGACATTGAGAAACGCTTTGCTGCAGCCGGACCTCCTTCAGCATCAGACAGAATGTGAGGATTTCCTGATCAGGAAGTGAAAAGACATTATTTCACTTCTATTCAGTGGAATAATGGCAGATTTTATTGGTCTATCATTATTTTCTTTGATTAGACTCACTTTCTGCTCACTATTTAATGCCTTCATTGTTTAATTGAAATGTTTCCATATCTTCAAGCGATGACATCATCCTATTCATTCTTCCAGTTTATCAAAAGGATTTTGTTGAAGAAAAACATTTTAAAAAAATATAACACATTATTTCGTTCTTCAGGTGTAATAAAAATCTGAAATCCAACAGACTCAACTAACCTAATTTGAATTATTCTTCACAGATTCATTAAATTGTGGTTTACACTTTTTTTTAGTTTGTAAAAACTTTCATGTCTGTATTTGTTAATGAGTACATGAAAGCCTCCAAACACTGCACTCCGCTCTGAACGTAGGCAAGCTTATTTATTCATTGCAAAAACAATTCAGAGTGCTTCACATGAATGCAACTGTTAAAAAGAAGCCAAATAAAAGCAGAATACAGCAAGATTTCAGCCATAATCAGTGGTTTGTAGCTGCAGTAGCTCCCAGCTGCGAGCTAACTCTGGATCTCTGCTCCTTTGGTCCAAAGATTTTTTCCTCAGTTTGGTTTTTATTCAGTGGTAGAAAATGATGGCTCATCCACATATTGATCTGCTCTCTGATTGGTTCTTAGTCACCTGCTGACATTGGGATGTAAAGCTGGGTGTCGTCTGCATAGTGATGCTAACTGATCTGGTTATAATCTGAGCCAATGGGAGCATGTAGATGTTGACTGGGAGGGGCCCCAGAATGGAACCTTCCTACTGACACGTAGAAGTCCCTGTCCTTCAGGTAGGATTTAAACCAGTCCAGTACTGAACCAGAAAGGCCCGCCCAGTTTCCCAGACGCTCTAATAAAATCCAGTGATCAACAGAATCAGACGCTGCACTGAGGTCCAGTAAAACCAGCACTGTGGTTCTTCCACAGTCTGGGTTTATACAGATGTCATTGAACACCTTAACCAGGACAGTCTCTGTACTCAGGTTGCTATGGAAACCTGACTGGAAGACATCAAATCAGCTGATTAATGTTAAAAAGGCATTTGAAATCTCTCTCTATACATTTTATGTTAAACTTGGAGTGAACAAAACTATGACTAATAAAAAAGAAATGGATCTGTTTAGTTTAGAATAAATCAGCAGAGGTTTGATCTGTTCTTTAGAATTGGTGTGAAAATGATATAAACTTTGTCCAAATCCAGTAAAAACCATGAAATTGCCCTTTACCTTTTTATTTTAGTGTTATTGACACTTAAATTTGCAAACTTTAACATAAAATGTTCACAGAACATAAAACAGAAGCACATGGGGATTTATTGATTTAATGGCATATTTGGATAGATATGAGAAATGTTCAAATGCAGATAATACAGCACTTAAAGATAGAGCAGATAGAAGCACTGATGCCTGATGCTCACAGTGAGCAGATATTGGTCAGTTTCTTGGTCTGAATGAGCTGCCTGATGTCTTTATGTCTGAATGATGTCACTTTAAATGTTTTAGATAATAGCACACTTGCTAATCTCAATGAACATTGCTAAAAATAAAGTTCTTCACTCCACAGGTCAAAACATTGATCTGGTCTCGACAGACCAGATATTTAGTTTCTGTTCTCCATATCTTTTAAAAGCTAGTCTGACTTTTATGGATTTCAGTCTAAGAATAAACTAAATCCATCCAGAGGTTTCTGCTCTTCACGTACCCGATTATTGATGAATAAATGGATTCAAAGAAAAGAAGGGATTGATATTTGGTCTCAGGGGTCCCAATAAACTGGCTATGCAGTGTTGCTGGCTAAATATCCAATGATCAGAGGAGATTCTAGAAAAAGTATCCGTATTTCCTGATAACTGAGCATTTCCCACCTTTCATCATTTACAGCAAGCATATGTTATAAACCAGGCAGAGCTAGAGACTGAATGAGAAAGGGTGTGAGAGCAGAGCCGGGTGTCTGGAGTTCTAGTTGAATCAACAGCTGTTCGCAGACTGTCTGGACATTTGGATGCTTGGTGTCGGACAGCGAAACTCAAGTTTCCTGTTTTCTTTTGGCTCTACCCTCTGCTGACAAAGATGTTTGCTCAAAGACTGTGAAATTCACTTCATACTCAAATGTTTGTGGAACATCTTTTGCTGCTTTAAAAGCTAATTGGCTAGCATCGTTAGCCCGCGCAGTGTCCGATTACCATCTGCTGCTTGTTGCACCAAAACAAATCATCCCAACCAGTAAAGCTGCTTTCTGGGAATTATTGTTGTTAAACTGTTTCTTTTTACTGGACCTTTATTATGCAGCCATGATCTTTAGGATTCTAAACAGCTGTATCTACTGCGTCTTTCTCTTAAAGGTATTATTCTACATTCCATTTATTTTAATGTAGTTTGTCTTTGTCAAATGTCCTTTGTTTTATAGAGTCAGGATCAAGGGTTTGACATGTTGCCATTGGCGGAGTGGCGGCCTAGTGGTTAAGGCCGCCACTCCGCCAATTAAGGCCGTTCAAAGTTCAGTTATTATTATTAAACTCTGTTCAGCTCATCTGATGCAACGTTTTTGTCTTTTCGATTAATCCTTTAGCTGATTTATGGATCATCTGACCAGGTGGGGATAACATTTCCCTCACTTGTCGTATTACTAGAAGCCAAATTCACCTTCAAGGTTGTTTCCCTTTAACTCTCAATGAGATGGCATGCTGAGGTGAGTAGAGCTCCTGCATAGATGGATCATATTCAGTTCAGTTCAGTTTATTTCTAGTTCTAGTTTATTTTCTGGAATGAAAATAAAGATCAGGACCGGTAATAAGAGGATTATTTAAACACCCTGGGGTAACAGGAGCCAGAGAATCAGGGGAAGATGGAGGAACCCCCCCCCATTACTGTAAAATACAACCATTTTATTGTTTTACTTTGTCCCTGTCCAAATAAGTGGAAAAAAAACAACATCCTTGATTTTATGAAAAGCCTAAACCTTTATGAATGTGGGCCGTGGTTGTATTCCTGTACTTAGACAACATATTAATTCCTTAAAGATGTTTTCAACCAAAGCAAACAGCTGCTGGATGAACTTTGATTTATTTCTCTGACTGATTTATTGAGTGATTTCTGTTTCATGTTTCTAAGGCTCTACTGTCTAGTTTCCTGAAATATTTGTGGAAAATATTGAACACAAATCAAACCTCCTTCAGAAGAACGTCTCCTCCGTGTTCAGCGGTCTTCCACCTCGGCTTCATTTGGCCGCCAGGCAGTCGGTTGAAAAAAGTGCTAAATTGTTTTCTTGAAGGATTTGAATATTAATGCCCGTCCCTGTGGTTCTGACTGAATTAAGCCTTCAAATTTAAATGTCTTCTGGTCCCCCATGTTAGCAACTAATTGCAAACTGAAGGACTGAAAGCACACAATTTAAGCTCTGGCTAAATGAGAAATAATCTCTAAAGGAAATCAGGGCTGGTTGGGATTCTACAACCATGTTAGCAAAAATGAAAAGCAGAATGCAATCATTTTTAAAACTGTGTAGCACACAGATTACATTAGAAAATAAAGCAGCAGTAGCCTAATTGTTTTTTGTGGGAAACACTCATTTGTAATTGTTTAAAAAAAAGATGAAATATTTGCTGCTGAAGGAAAAATCCCTTTTAGTTCCAAATGAGAACAGAAATCCAGCCTGATTCCTTCTGATTTATGAATGAAACATTATAATGCAGCATCTAATCTATCTGCGTGATGCATCCTGGTTATACTGTTAGCTAGCATACAGCTGTCTTGATTGATTTTTAGTATTTCAATTCTAGTCAGTTTATTTCTATAGCTC